CCGGCAGAGCCCGGGGGGAGGCGAGTGGCGCTGGGTCTCGGCGTCCCCGCTTCGGCCGTCAGTCTTTCACCTCTACACCGTAGCTTCGACAGGAGCCGGTGTGGGGCTCCGCAGCCCCGGGCACACACCACACTTCGCGAGCAGAGCCCAGCGCCTGCAAGGCGGACGCCGCGTTCAGACTTAAGTTTTCTAAAATACCAACATTTTCTTCAGCCTTTCACGCTGAGCCTGGGTAAGATGGAGTTTGTGGCGAGCCTGAAGGGAGCCTGCGGAGAGCAGAACAGCCTTTGTGGCTCTTCTCCCTGACCTGACTCTTCCACAAGGAGCATCCCGAAGGGCTCGGGTCCAGAGGCGACTGGAGGCAAATAACGCTGCTGTCTGTGTTCGTTTCACAAGTCCTCACAGCTCTTCTGTCAATGTTCACAAAACAATCGACACTTCAGTGCTTTTTGGGTGGGATTTCAAGGACCCATTTCTGGGTTCGCAGCTCTAGAGCGCATTTCACGTGTCACACCCTCAAGACGTAGCGCCCGATGCTTATTCTGCAATTCAAAGCCATCTGCTGTACCCCTTAGTGTCAGTACTGCGTGGAAACTTATAGCAATGTGATTTTCAGCGCTAATAACGCTACCAAAAATTGTAAAGAACCATAAAGCAAGCGACCTTTTTCATGCACTCAACCAAAAACGTTACCCCAGTACCAAAAACGTTACCCCAGTAAGATTCTCTGAATTTCTCAACATGTATTCAGCTCCATGGTTAAACAGCATCTCAACCCAGATGCTCCCGCATTTGTCCAAAATAACAGGACACCAACTTCCAACAAAAACCTCACACATGCCCATTTCAGTATTTTTCTCTCGGGGATGAGCCTAAGGCTTTAATGTTAAGTCCTGCTTTCACAGCTACAAAGCCAGCCTGGTAACGCGCACAAAAGGCCGCGCTGTCCGGTGTTCACAGTGCCCTGCAGAAGCCAACGATTTCTGCTGCTGACGGACACCACCAGCCGCGCTCAGGTCAGGCTCCCTCTGAGGCACAACCACAGCAGCACGGGAGAAAACCCCCTGCTTTTCGGAGAGCAACACCCCAGCCAGGGACTCTGACAAGAAGTCCTTACAGCAGAAGGGCTGTAAGCCAGCTGGAGGATGAAACGTGATCATCATTTTCAGTTTTATTTGAAAAGCCTTCCTAAGCTTTCCGAGTCTTGTTCTTCAAACCAGCCAAACCACCCTTAAGGTCCCAATGGAGGCACCTGATCAGAAACGTGTCTCATTTGAAGAAAACTCGCCGCTATTGCTGGTCCGATCGCAGCTGATGAGCACACTGCTGCAGGCAGAGATGCAAAAGGTTTGGGTTTTTTTCCCCCCCCATAAACACACTGCACTATTTAAAGATTTTCATCTTTGAATTTAATTAAAGAAAAACGAGATGCAAAAGGTTTGGGTTTTTTTCCCCCCCATAAACACACTGCACTATTTAAAGGTTTTCATCTTTGAATTTAATTAAAGAAAAACATCTCAAAGTGATTAAAAGCGTGTCGGACTTCCAGCTCCTTTTAATGGCACAAGCCAGTGCAGTAACTTGTAGAACATGAGCTCAGTTAGAATTTTAATTTAATTTAAAAAAACAAACAAAAAAACCCCCCCAAACCCAGAAACCTCGAAAAAACAACTCTCAAGATGCGAGGTCCTATTAAAAAAGTGGCTGTTCACTTGTAAACAGAATTAAAATGTCAGGAACCAAGTTTCATACAGACTAAACAAAACCACTTTTCTTAAGCAGTACAAGTCGTGTTACAACATTGTAAGACCACCAAAAGCAGAAAACAAGCAAACAAACAAATGGTGGAAGAATCACATAACGTTACTTACTAAAATAATAATTTACTTTGAATATTAATAGCTTGACATTTTTATTGCTCCAATGGTAGTGTGTTGACAATTAAATGTAGTAAACCATCATAGTGGGACAGCAATAAACATATATTTATGGTTTTGCATATGGAGTTTTGTACCTGTCAAGGAAAGCACAGGAACTTTTTTCATTTATCAAGACCACACCAGATTTAGCAAAAATCCCATCTACACCCATCTACAGCTGAACTCAGACTTTCTAGAGCACGGCTGAGCATGTCTTTGAACATTTTTTTTCCACTCCTATGGTAAAACAACGTCACAGATGCAGGTGGAGGATCAGTAGGTGAGAGCTTTGATGCTTTGCCAGCAATTCTTCAATACTCCTTAGATAGAGAACTTACTAGATAAAAACCCAAATATTTCCTAGAGAAAAACTAGAAAGGAAAGTTGGCGTCAACATGTTTATATGAAAAATGAAACATCCATCTGGTTGACAGTAACTGCTTTAAAAACTGTGCTGCAAACTCGCTGATAGCTCCCAGTTCCCTTTTCTCCTCACTCTGCACGCTTTCTCTTTTGTTGGAACCAGCCAAGGCACTTTCTTTACCACTTCCGCTACACTTTGCTAACCTTACTGTTACATTGCTAGGAATTCTTTCTTCAATTAACAAGTATCCTCCACGACTAGGTTTACCAATTCATGCTGACATTGTAAAAAATAAGGTTTTTCAGTCTTGTGAGACGGAATTACCTGCTTAAATGTTTTTCTATTAAAGTAAAGGATAGCCCAGGCAAAAAAAAGAACCTGCAGGCAGAAGTGCACAGAGTTCACAGCAGTGCTTAGAGCTGCCTTCATCTTTAAACAAGCTATGGAACCTGTGTCTTTCAGATGCAAATATAATACTGAGTGCTGGTTTTGCATTTTAATGCAAATTTATCTACTCATTAAAACATGGAGCTTACTCTAGATGGCAGTTTGGCTCTCATACTCTTTATGGCCACATATTTAAGTGTCTATTAAAACACAAAAAGAGACCCTTTCACGGTTTGAAAACTGTACAATTAACAATTAAGGACAAAGTAAAATGTATAGAATTTACATATTTAAAATGTAAACTTTCAAAACTCATGTTCTGCGCTTAAGTGCCTCGTGGTGCTGGGGAGAGACCCAGGGGCAGCCAGGGGAAGGGGACAAAGGGAGGAGGGTTGGCAAGTAAAGCTCAAATCTTGTTCTGCCTCGGGTCTCTGGTCAGACCCTGACACAGGGTGACCAGGGAGCAGCCTGAAGGCCCGAAGGCTCCCGTAGCTCAGGGTTTTCTCTCAGCTTGGCACAGCACCTCAGAGGAACAAGACAAATCAGGCTGAGAAACTTTGAACTGAAGACGATTAAGTCAGCACAGACTGAAGAGCAGCGAGACTGAATACGCCCGGGCATTCGCCGCTGGCAGTTACCAGAACTCCCATTTGGCCTGCCTGTTCTCTCAGTTGGAAAAGAATATTTTGAACATACAGTCACATAAAGGAGAAAAATAAGAAGCTGCTGAGATTTCTTGAGTTTCTTACACAAGAAAAGAAAATCACTAACAAAGTTCTAGCATAACAGTAAGAAACTCCCATTGTTCTGTGAATTAAGCTGAGCTCCCTTCATTTACTCCAGAAACTTATTTATAAGGGAAGTACATAGAACCGGTTGGATAGCTATTAAAGTTTTGGTTTACATTGAATTTTTCTGCCATTACATATTCTCTCTGCTTCCAGTTAAAATTCATCCTGAAAAAATAAACTGGAGAGAACACTTTGCTTGGTTTGGTGATAGAAATCTGAGTTGCAACGTGTAACTAACGTTAAATTCAAGCAACACAGTAGGTTTTTTTATTCAATATGTTACAAATGGAATTGCACAATTAGTTGTCACCAATCTACCAGTCAAATGAAACCTCTGCACTAAGCAGAGATTTCAGAATCTGAAGCATCAGTCTGTGACTGGAAACTACTGCGAGCCCTGACATTTGACACTCCTCAGCTGTACAGTGAGAATAGCACAGAAATTTCGTTTGAAGTAGCAGCTTGTGTAAAATTGGCCTTCTGTAAACACTGTGTACAAGAAACCTGACCTACTACAGTTACTAGAATGCAACGGTCTTGACAATACTACATCGTAATACAATATCGCATACTGAAAAGGTGCAAATACATTCAGAGGAAATCCCAAGTCACCCTGAAACTAAAAAGCAACTCGGGACAACGTCGCAAGGAGTCACGTTGCTGCAAAGAAACGCCTGGGCACTCACGATGGTATTCATCACAACTTGCAGATACTAAGTCAGCAGCTGTTTTTTCTCTGGTTTCTTATTTCTTCTTCGGAAAGGGAAGAAACTTGCATCAATTTTCATTGGATTACTATTTTGACATAGTCTTGCCTAGAGCAGCCACGACAGGAAGCTTTCTTACAATTACTTCCCTTCCTGAGATCAGACAAACGGGGAAAAAAACCCCCCAAATATGCATGAATTCCACAAGACATTTTTGGCTCTTCAGACCATGCCCGAATGCCAAAACACATGCATGAACCCTTTCAGCTGATTTACCTCCTCCCATCAGCATATTTTGAAACACTACTCTGACTTAGGTAAAATTTATTCCTACTGGAAAGGGCTCTGTGCCACTTCGTGGTTAAAATGGTGAAGTATCCTCATACTACAAAAATACCAAAAGTGTTACTTGAGCTTTGATTTAGCTGTTCCAAATCCTTCTCCTTGGTAATGAAGGTCCCCAATTATGATGCTTTTTTTTTTCCTTTACTTCAAAATAAAACAAAACTTGACATCCATATATTCCTAACTTAAAAAGAGGCTTTAGGGTATATTGTTAATAGCAGCCACCATCTACCCCACAAATGCAACTTTTTTCAAAGGTGAACAGTATTTAAGCTTCTATTTCAGGTGCTACAAACACCCGAAATATTTGAAGGAAAAAAAAAAAAGACAGAAAGGCTATGCATTCTTCATCCAATTACTAAAAGTGCAACTAAGCCCTACACATCTGATAGTATGTACAAACTCATTATGGCTTTACCATAAAACTGGGCTGTGGACGGGGCTGTACAATGAGAGGGATATGAGCAAATGTAATGAATAAAACGACGTCGGGCTGTTGGCAACAGAGTAAGAGCTATATTACATTCTGTAAACCTTCGCAGACCACACTTGACATTATGCAAAGAGTCAGTATTTACAAATCCCTCGTGGGTAAAATAATTAACCCCCTAATGTAAATGATGATTTTGCAAAGTGCAGGACAAAACCAGTGCTGTTGATTGCAAGTCCTATGCGAGCAAGTTATACTAAAATCGTTACTGCTAGACGCTTACCTGGACGTTTCTACAGAGGGTTTATAGGATTGCGACATTTCGAATGAAATATTGTATGACATAGCATTAGGATGCACATTTGAGAACAGCAAATATAGAAATGAATAAGGCAGCATGCTCAGAACAAGTTTAAGCAGCACTGATGTTAGATCCCTAGTGGCAACTATATCAGTCAATGTTAAAAATTCAGAGTGCAACATAGAAGCCTCGTTTAACATAAAAAAAATGTGCAAATTGTTCTCTTCTTAATGAAAGAAAGTAACATAGCAAGGAAGATATTCTATTGAAGAACATTTTTTAAGTCACAGCAAAGTAGACCATCTTCTTTCCAAAATCATCTACAAGGCACTAAGGGTAGAAAATGACAGGTAACATGAGAGACCGAATGCTGTTCCTCAGTCAGGTCGAAATATGGGGTATTTTGGTAAGAACTCTATTAATATTACCTGTTGAAGAAGGGAAAAAGACAAGAACAAAACACAATAACCAACACGTTCAAACCTCCCACACAATTTCCATGCAACGTTATGATTACACGTATCTGAGATACTCTGTAAGGAGGGAAATGCTTCCCAGAGTAACAAAGCAGAGATTTCAGTCATTTTGAAATGCAGAGCTTCTGGCCACTTGCGTTTTTCGGGGTGCCTGCCTCTTTTCTTCAGGCCTACACAATCTTCACAGCTATACATGAAAGGGGATGGGGGAGCAGTAGGACCACAGAAACATTCAGAATTCTGCTTTCCAACGGAACAGGTGGATAAACATTAAAGAACCATGGACTGGTGTGGGGATCACACCAATGCACAAAGTTCCAGTGAGTCTCCCTCATCACAAATCACAGACCAGAACAAGTGCAGTGCAAGCACAGAACTGTTATGATGAGAAAACATGTCTAGTGGTCACAATTTCTCAATCTCAGTATATGCCATGGCACATGTGCTGTTAAAAATACCCTTCACGGGTGTATGTCGAACACAACTGCAGGTTTTTCTGAGAGATGTTTTTCAGATGGGTGGCAGTCTAGCAAGCTAAGGGTTTTCTCTACAAAATCATAGTTCTGTCGAACACCAAATAAGTAACAGAAGTAATACTTACATATTCCATCATATTGCTAGTTTCGCATTTCCTTTTACTCAGCTTCCAGTGCAAACCAAGCTAAGAAAATAATTATCAGAGGATTAATGCATACCACAGCAATGTCTTCATGAGTAACAAGCATTAGCAATATCAAATTATTAGGATCTGGAACACTTCAGACACAGGTTCAAGATCAGTATGAAGGATGGAATTATAACAACATTGTGAAATTCCTACATGCCAATCATGCAAAACCAACCCTTACTATTCTTAAAGCTGAAAAAAACCCCAAGCACTCTAACTTTTCTTACCTTATGATATAGTCTGTTATTTTCCCATTCTAATAACTTCTGAATTGATCTTCTAGTCTAAA